GTTCGCCATCGAGCACACCATGCACGTTCAGAACACACTCAAATGGCACGATTGAGGTCACACGTCTGCACGCAGCTCAGGAAGCCAGCATCGCATCGACTACATCTTGACAAATTTCAACGTTCATTCGCTGTGCAATGACGCGGAGGTGGACTACTCTTTCGACGCATTCACAGAAAGAGCTGATGATTACCCAGTCTACGCAGTCTTCAAAGGCACACACGCACAGTCCCCCACTACATCCACAGCCACATTGAAGCTAGACCAGGACGAGTTAGACGATCCCGACGCCAAAGAGAAGTTTGCATCGATACTTGGAAACGCTTCTCTGCCATCTTGGGGTTGGGGCATCAACAAACACCGACGTCATACAGACCAAATTGCGCGGGATGCGGCAGCAATCTGTGTCTCGGCGGATCGGCGTACACCAATGGAGCCGCGCATCGGCACTGCGACGATGGAACTCATTTGTCTTCGGCGCTACGCAAGCCCTGCGACACGCAACCCTCCGACCTCCCAACCATCAGAACGGTCATGGGTGCAACTGCTTCGTTTCTTCATATTCAGGATCGGCTACTACATCCACCTGCAGATCGACCACGGCATACAACTACGGCGCGACGTCGGTTGGCCCGTTCGACCAAGCGCAACGACTCCAGCGTGGATGAAGGAGAATTGCACATCGAGTTTCGACGCTTCCCCAATGCCACGGCGAGGCCAGTTCGTCACCATATTTCACAAGATCACACTCAACATCATGAACATCTTGGCGAACAAATGGCATCGGCAACACAGACATAAGATGCGCATGGGGAGGGGGGGGGGGGGGGGGCATGAGAGCCCTCCTTCGCGATGGCGGCCGTCCACGACGACAAGCACGACATCCCTACCTGCTACGGCCCGACGGGGAACCTGTTCAGTCCGCAACCGAGGAGGCCCAGTTGACAGTAGAGCACGTCGCAACTACTGAAGACGCCGAGATCACTACGGAGGAAAAGCTCAGCGCACTATACAACAGCTGAACGCATCACGACTACTCAAAGACGGCCACCGCCGCGCAATCAATTACGACTCCATGTCGGGTTGTCCGTCTTGTTCGACAAGTCGCAACACGCCAATATTTGCAAAGGCAAGCATTCACCAATAAGATCCACTAGACTGGAAACACGGCGTGGCCTTCGTTTTGCTCAAGGCGGTTGAATCACCCTCGGTCCTTGAGCACTATCGGTCGATGCTACTCAACGGTCAAATTATTAAAGTGCCGACACCGCCGTCCTCGAAACAAACTGGCGGGATGCCTTGAGGTGCTGCTGCGAGACCCGCAGGCAGGAGAACGAGCCAAACATGGCCCTGGACAGCTATTAGACATTGTGACCAGCTTTCAACAGCTGCGTCGACGAAGGAGAGTTAGCTGTATTCATCGATGTCCAATCCCAGCAGCATGTTATTCAGTTGTACGTTCGCTTGTACTTCCAATTGAGGACGACGACGCGGACCTAAGTTTTGTCTTACACGATCAGATCATGAGACCACCCTCATCCTACTGCCGACGTTCACGTGCGTTCTCGCGCAGCCTGCTGCGCACGGCTCTTTACAAGATCGTCCTGACTCGCTTGCTCTCTTGATCGAGAGCCACCGCGACACTCATTTTGGAGTTCCGAACTGCACATCACTCGGGTGCTCACGCAGAGAAACCAGACCAGGCAGTTCGCTTGCAGATGCAATGTTCAACATTTCTTTCGCCCGTCCATTGCAGGCGGCCTCAGATACGGGTGTTGAGCTTCGATCTTGTACCGATCTTACCACAATGGCCCATGAAATTATATGTTCAAGATCAACCACAACACCTGAGCTGACGGAAGTTTCCGTTGTAGGCGACGGGCTTTTCTTAGCGACACCGCAGGACACTTCCGACGCACTTGACGGTGCTGGGTCTTGTGGACGCCGTATATCACAGCAGACCACACACGGGTTCACGATAACATTCAAGAAGAACAAGTCAGCTCGGATGATCACGCCGGCTGGCGATGGGGCTCGTATGACCCAGATCAACTTGGAGGATTATTCAGATATGATGCAAGTCGCCCAAACATGGTCAGGATGTCTGGATCTGCAGCTTGTACAAATACTTGGGGACACTGCTGGACAGTGGTGCTTCGCTGGGACCAAGGATTGAGGGGCGGTCCGCAAGCAGAAGGGTGCCTTGGATCCCATACTTCGAACGTGCGCACGTGTTCACTGTAGGAGTTCAAATGCCATGCTAAACTTGGTGGATGTTTTATGCTACCTGGCAGAGGTCTGGTCATCAATCTAATCCTCAGCCGTACGCGCTGGAAACCCCGAGGTTGTTGTCGTATCGAGTTGTTCTAAGCCGTTTCCATCATGATGAAGCCCAGGCCGTCTACTCCGATCGACAGATCTACGTCCAGGCGCAAGAGGTCCCCAACAAATATCTAATTCGACGGCGCCGGCTGTTATATGTTGGATATGTTTGTGTTGCAGCACTGCCGATACTCATTCGGTTCGTGGACCTACGTCATACCGCCGAAGGCTCCTGGTCACAACTCTTGTTGAAGGATTTGCGATGGCTAACTACAGATGATCCAAACGCGAACGGACGAGATTGGTCCTTGGGAGAGTGGTTCGATTATGCTGCACAAGCACCGCGGCAGTTCCGAGCACGCGTCAAGCGAGTTTGGCAGCAGCTTGACGATACGACTGGGGACCACGCTTCTGCCCAACATGTGACGACGAGATACATCTGCTACGAGTGTGGAGACACGTTCAAAAACACCGCTGCTTTGAGGAGGGCCGACTCCGACACGACCCTCGTGATTTGGCCCAGGGGTCCTTGTGTCCAGCGTGCGGGAACACATTCGGCGACCGCTCTCAACTGGTGAACCATCTGCGACAAGTAGGGAGTCCATGCGTAAATTGGCACAAGCTCAACATCAAGTTAGTGGACAGAGACAGAGCACAAGAGCTACACGAGTTGGGCATGACGACGCAGCATAGGCTACCATCGGCTCAAGATCAAGGGACACGCTCGGCATCCTCAGATTGGAGAATGGGTTGGGGGTGTTTGTCACTGGGGAGGCAGGAGGTGAACCGTTCGTGCACCCAAAAGAGCCTACTGTGCAAGTAGATGCCGACGCGAAGGAGCTCGACCTGCTATTGCCACCACCGTCTGGTGTCCCTCCAACTGTCAGGCTGCGCATTGGTTTTTGCGAAGAGCAGTTTGCAACTATAAGCAGGTGGATCCTTCTTTACTCACGATCGACGGTTACGGCATGCACGATAACCAGCACTACAGATGACGAGTGTCAAGTGATGTCTGATACTATGGGAAACGATGTACTCAAAAAGATGCGAGCGGGAGGAGGGGCTGTTGGTGTTCTGATCTGCGCCCGACTTACCTCATGGAAACAAACGAGGAGAGCCACGATTATGATTGATGGTGAGATGCGGCTACTACGAGACCGGGCACCTCAACGTACAGTGCATACAGCCCCTAGAGTACAGCTACGCAGTGCTGACTCTCCCTGGGGACTGCATGCACTGACTGTCAAGGATCAAGCAGCTGTTCTACGGAGCAACAGTGAGTTGAGGGGACTATTGTATGTACTGGAGCTGGCGTTCAAGACTGGTATTCCTGAAGTTGCGCGCGGTTCACTGGCAGCAACGGTGCTGGTGGAGCAGCTTCCTCAGGTTCGAAGAGCATTTCAAGATTTTTGCGGTCGACGTCTTGCCATACCGACGCATTGGCAGGGATCTCTATTGGCAGTCCACACGGTGGCGACACCGCTACCCAGCGGCGGCAGCGACCTGGGCCTAGAGCGCTACCTGACTAGGCTGGTAGTCCGCGCTGAGATCGCCAGGCGATGTCGCTAGATACTTCATCTCTTCTCTTCCATCATCCATGGTGCGTCATCATCATTTATGTTGCATCGTTCATGTCCTTCTGGCTTCCGAGCTCCTCCTGTGTGTGGCGCGGGGGCGAATTGCGAGGGGCCCGCTTGGGTGGAGGAAGTGGCAGCCGAGCGCCACCCCGTTGCGGGCCCCCTCGACCAGCCTCACTTGACTCCTGTATCATCGTCCTGGCTTCTTGCCTTGCCATCCCGCTCTTCTCCGCGGGCCTGCTTACAGGCCGAGTCGGCCCACTAGGGGCCATGTGAAGGAAAACATGCTCCCACTGGCTCCTGATCCTGACCAGGACTACCTCCACATCCGCGGTGTCTCTGTTTGCTTCGGGCCCTTGTGGGGCCACTCTCCTTCCTCGGCCCTGGGGTTCGTCCTGGCCAGTCTGCTGCAATATTTGGGAGCTCTCGACCTCTGGGGCCGCAATTCCTGGGTCCGCGGGTTGCTGGTGCTGGACTCGCCTTGGGTCGTTTTTTGCCTGACCGAGTAGGTGCGGCCAGCGTGCGCTTCCGTCCGTGTGGACGACGAGGCGTCGGCCACCGCCCGTTGACTGGCGCTACTGGCCGTGGCGCCCAGTAGCCTGGTCAAGAGAAGAGAGAGGAATAGGAGGAGCAGCAGGAGGAGCAGGAGGAGGAGCAGGAGGAGCAGCAGGAGCAGAGCGGGGGCCCCAACCGACTGGGGTGGTGGGGAGAAGGAGGCACTCTAGAGGAGGATGCGCCAACCGACTACGTAGGGTGGGGGGGGCGAGAGAGGGCCCCAGCAGACCCTGCAGCAGCGGGGGGCGCGCCTGGCGAGAACTCGAAGCCACGGGAGGACGAGGAGGAGGAGGAGGATGAACGGCAGGAGGAGGTCGCGGGCTCGCGGCGTGCACGTGACAGGAGGAGGAGCAGCAGCGTCGGCGAGCACACTGGAGGGGGCGAAACCAGGATGGCCGGATAGAACGAGCAGCTGGAAAAGACGAGACGAGAGGTGAAGGGCGGCGAGGGCGATGAGGAGGAGGCGGAGGAGGAGGAGGGAGGGAGGGACGGAAGGCTGGGAGGGAGGGAGGGAGGGGGGAAAAAGGGGAGCAGGAGGATAATGAAAGGGAGGGTGGGGGGAGGACAACGGGAGCGGGGGGAAAAAGAGAGGCCAAGACAGCGGATTCGCACCAGGCGTGCCTCGGGCACCCCGCGCGCCCCCGCCCAACTCCCACACCAGGGGTGGCGGCGCGCCGCAACCGAGGGGCGGCGCCCTCACTGCAGCGCCCACCTGACGCCCTGCAGTCGGCTGAGCGGGGGGGGCGGGCTTGCGCCGCTCTGGGCTCTCTGATGCCTCCTACTGCTGCTCCTCCTCCTGCTCCTGCTGGAGCGCGTCCGCTCGACCGGGCGCACAGCTCACAAGGGAGACGAGACGTCCCGCGCACACCCAGGCAGTCCCCGACCAAACGGCCCGGAAGCCGCGGGGGGGCGCCGAGGGGCGTCGCCTCCCAAAACGAATCCACGGGCCCGCCGCAGCTCTTTCCACTCCCTTCCTCGGGCCAGCACGCGGGCCTCTCAGGGCCTAATGTCCTCCTTCGGCCCCGACCCGCTCAGCGGCCGCCTCCGCGCCTGTTCGCCCTCGTCGCCGCCTCCGCTCCTCGGCCTCTTCCTGCTTCTGCGTCGTTCGGGCTCGCCCTCCGCCTCCTCCTCCTCCTCCTGCTTTTGTTCCTGCTCTTCCTGCTCCTCTTCCTCCTGCTTCTCCTGCTCCTGAGCCTGCTGCTGCTGCTGCTTTTGCTGCTGCTGCTCCTCCTCCTCCTCCACCTCCTCCTCCTTCTCCTCCTCCTCCCTCCGCCTCCTCCTCTCATCCTCCTCCTCCTCTTCCTCCTCCTCCACCTCCTCCTCCCCTCCTCATCCTCCCTTTCCTCCTCATCGTCCTCCTCCTCCTCGTCCTCCTCCTCCTCCTCCTCCTCCCCCTCCTCTTATTCTTAGTATTCGTATTAGTATGCTTCGTAGTATTAGTACTATTAGTACTAGTAGTATTATTATCATTAGTATCATTAGCATTAGTATTAGTACTAGTCTTAGTATTATTATTGGTAGTATCATCGTCATCATCATCATCATCAGCATCATCATCAGCAGCAGCAGCATCATCATCAGCATCATCATGATCAGCATCATCATCATCATCATCATCATCATCATCATCATCATCATCAGCATCATCTTCATCATCATCATCAGCACCATCAGCACCATCATTATTATCAGTAGTATTATTATCAGTATGGTTAGTAGCAGTATTAGTATTACTAGTAGCACCGGTAGTAGTAGAATTATGATTCGTGCTAGTATTAGTAGTCTTAATAGTATTCTTATTATTGTAAATAATCGTGTTATTGTTGATAGTATTATTAACACGACTACGATTATTAGTATTATGATTATTATTATCATTAGTAACAGTAATATTTTTACTACTATTATTAATGGTTTGATTATTAGCAGTACCATTATTATTGTTTTATTGTTATTAATGGCATCAGCATTGCTAATCTTATGATCAGCATTATTAGTAGTCGTCGTATTGTTAGTAATGGTAGTATTATCATTATTATGAATAGCAATCGTCTTATTCGTAGTCTTCTTATTAGTAGTAGTCTTATCATTCCCTGTTTGAGTATGAGTATTAGTATTCGTCTTCTTATTATTGTTATTACTGACATTCGTATTAGTATTACTAGTATTACGAGTAGTAATGTTCGCCGTCATACTCTTCTTCGTCTTAGAAATATTATTATTGATATTAGTATTAGTATACTTAGTATTATTAGTATTACTATTATTATTAGTCGTAGTAGTAGTAGTAGTAGTAGTAGTAATCGTATTCCTCTTCTTGTTCCTCCTCCTCGTCCTCCTCCTCCTCCTCTTCCTCCTCCTCCTCTTCCTCCTCCTCCTCCTCCTCCTCCGCCTCCTCCTCCTCCTCCTCTTCATCCTCCTCCTCCTCCTCCTCCGCCTCCTCCTCCACTTCCCCTTCCTCTTCCTCCGCTTACTCCTTCTCCTCCTCGTCCACCTCCTGCTCCTGCTCCTCCTCTCCTGCTCCTCCTCCTCCTCCCCCTCCTCCTGCCCTTCCTCGTCCTCCTCGTCCTCCTCCTGTTCCTCCTGCCGTTCCTCCTCTTCCTCCTCCTCCTCCTCCTCGTCCTCGCCCTCCCTTTTCTCTTTCTCTCTTTTCTCTCGCTCCGTCTGCCTCTCTCTCTCTCTCTCGCTCTGCTTCTCTCTCTCTCTCTCTCTTTCGTTGTTTCTCTTTCTCTCCCTCTATCATTCTATATTTATGTATATATATATATGTATATCGGGTTATCCTTGCTTCCCTCTCTCTCTCTTTATCTCTCTCTCTCTCTCTCTCCCCCTCTTGCCCGACCGCCCACACTCCGACCCCACAGACATCCGACTCGCCCGCAGCCCGGCTCCACAGCAGTCCAATTCCCCAGCGGTCCGACTCCACAAAAAATACGTCCACAGCAGTCCGCCTCCACAGTACCACCGCCCAACCGCAGCGGCCTCTGCAGTCCGGCTGCACAGCAATCCGACTCCACGGCAGTCAAGCCCCTTAGCCCGACTCCGCCGCCGGGCCCGCACTGCGGCAACCCTGCCCGGCAGTCCGACTCCACAGCCCGACCGCGCAGCGCGACTCCACATCGTGACCCTACCGAACCGCACGACGACGTCCCTACTGAGATGACCCCAGCGTCACCAGCACAGTCTTCTGCACATACGACTGGTACGCCTGCCATTTCACATGCGTCATCAGCACTTACGC